ATATTGTGAATTGTATTTTACATTCAAAAGAAAATCTTTTTCTGAATATCTGTAATCATTCAGTGTTATCTCAGTATCAGTCCAATAGAAATCCTATCAGTGAAAGTAATTTCAAGGAAGAACGTATCGGACAAACATCATGCGAATGGTAGTAGATACAATAGTAAGAGCAACTTGCGATCGATGAGTAGAGCCAATCGGACCTGGGTCTGGAAATTTTGTTTTGATTTTGATCAGGTTCGGATCCCAAAATTCTTGGACCTGATAGACTCTACCGGTGAGACATTATAAGTAATTATTTTCGGAAATTTGTTGTTTATTTTGAAACAGTCGGATCTAGGGTATGGGGTGTAGGCTCCTTCTTAACTCACAGTCACATCCGCACCCACACCCACACCCTTGTTCAGTACTTTTGGTTTTTCTTAGTTCGTTTATATACACCGTTGCCGTTTGTGCAATAAAGCTAGTTCATTATCAATCCGCCGAGTTACCTGTAAAGCATGTAAATATAGTTTTGCGACAAAGATACAATGAATCTATAAATAGAACAAACTTTTTAATAAAAATGTACGATACAAAAGTAGTGGGACAAATGTCGGACCCTATTTCTCTTCGATAGAAAGGGTACTGAAAGAAAACTTTTTTTACTGAAAAATAAAACTTTTTCTCCTCTTGCGAATCGTATATAACTTATTTTTATAACACATTCATAAACGAAACGATGCAACAGAAAAGAGAAGCACCCTTAGAAACTAGATGGTATTCGAGTTTCGACTCGAATACGAAATGCGGTGCGAAGCACACGCGCCGAGAATCGGAATAACGAATTTCGAATCGAAATCGAATCATTTCTCTACATATCATCGGAGTTAGTTCTCACAATCTACGTAAAAGGTTCTAAGATAACCAAGGATGTTTTAATCAAACATCTTTATCAAACAGCTGATCTCATCTAGATCTGAAATGAACGCGTCCATTATGAAATTCATCACTTCAGAAACTCTATGAAAGCGTATCGACCGATTTCTACAAATTGTTTTGTATTGATCAATTAATTATGTCAGTGATTCATTATCTACATCAGCTGTATTTACAGCTGTTTGATATATGACTGAACAAATTGGCGCCTAACTTTTTTTTTGAATTTTCGTTTTAATTATCTCTAAAGTAAACTCCATCAAAATTATGTTTTTGGAGCTTCGATTGTAGACGAACTATGGATTCTATAGATGATTCGGCTAAAAAAGGTACGAATTCGATCTCGACTCTTCAAGCTCCCGTTTCAACGACTATTTTACGACTTTTTGTTCATGAGATCATAGAGCCACAAAACGACAATTTTTGATGCGTACGTATAGTATAAAAGAAAGAAAAAAAAAAAAACTAGATGGTATTCGAGCTTCGCTTCGAATACGAAATGCCCTGCGAAGCACGAATCTTTTGAATTTTCGAAAAAACGAGACTTCGATTTTCTAAACTATATTGATCACTATTTTGACTTAAATTAGCTACTGACCCTGTTAGATAGACACTTTTCTTCATCTTCATCAAACAGATGATCTCATCTGGACTCAGAATGAAAGCCGTCCATTATAAGATTCATCACTACAGAAACTCTACGAAAACGTATCGATAGATTTCTATGAGTTGTTTTCTATTGATCAATTAATTATCTCAGTGATTAATTATCTACTATCAGCTGTAATTCGCAGCTGTTTGATATATAGCTACAGAAATTGGCGCCTAACTATTCTTTTGAATTTTCGTTTTAATTATCTCAAAAGTGAACTTTGTCAAAATCGTGATTTTGGAGCTTGGATTATAGACGAAGTATAGATGCTATCGATCATCTGACAAAAAAAGGTACGAGTTCGATCTCGATACTTGCACTTCGCGTTTGCACGAATATTTTCTGAACTTCCGTTCTCGAGATCATTCGAACAAAAAATGACGATTTTTTTGCGTACGTCGAGTAAGTAAAAGAAAAAAAAACTAGATGGTATTCGAGCTTCGCTTCGAATACGAAATGCCCTGCGAAGCACGAATCTTTCGAATTTTCGAAAAAACGATATTTGTCAAAAAACGAGACTTCGATTTTCTAAACTATATTGATCGCTATTTTGACTTAAATTAGCTACTGACTCTGTTAGATAGACACATTTCTTCATCTTCATCAAACAGATGATCTCATCTGAACATGGAATGAAAGCCGTCCATTATAAAATTCATCACTACAGAAACTCTACGAAAACGTATCGATAGATTTCTATGAGTTGTTTCCTATTGATCAATTAATTATCTCAGTGATTCATTATCTACTATCAGCTGTAATTCGCAGCTGTTTGATATATATCTAATGAAATTAGCGCCTAACTTTTCTTTTGAATTTTCATTTTAATTATCTCAAAAGTGAACTTTGTCAAAATCGTGATTTTGGAACTTGGATTATAGACGAACTATAGGTTCTATCGATCATCTGACAAAAACAGGTACGAGTTCGATCTTGATACTTGCACTTCGCGTTCCAACGAGTATTTTCTGACTTTCCCTTCTCGAGATCATTCGAACAGAAAATGACGATTTTTTTGCGTACGTCGAGAAAGTAAAATAAAAAAAAAAAAAACTCGCGAAGGACTACATAAATGCTCCTGCTTCGCAGGGCATTAAAAAAACTCGCGAAGGACTACATAAATGCTCCTGCTTCGCAGGGCATTAAAAACTCGCGCACGACTACATAAATGCTGTGCTTCGCACCGCATTAAAAAATCCTTACTTTTTCTACACAAGAATCGCGCAGAATGTCAATTCTTATATCTTTTTGATAAATAGGTTTTGAAAAGAATATTTTTTTTATCAGTTAATGTGAAATTTTCTCCTCTTTCGAATAATGTATGCATGCTAAGTAAAAATGTGTTACATGTGTCGTGATTTTCGAAACATTGTACGATACATTAAAGTGCGACACCTGTTCTCTAGCAAGACCACGACACATTTTGTACGACACATGCGACACATTTTCTATTGGTTCTTTTGGAAAAGTATATTGCGAATTTTTTTTCAATTTAATTCCATTAATTATTCGTATTCTGAAAACTCAAGCAGGTCAGATCCTCGGATCTGTCCGATCTCCAGTTGCAGATGAAACTGCATCGAATCGTCTATACCAGATTTTTTTAAACAAGTTTTCTCAGAGTCTACCATCAAGTTTGTTAAACACAAACGATTGTTTAATGTAAAACTTTTATGATCTCAATTTTCAGGAATGCACTAGAATCATTAACTGAAAATCTATAAATTCTGTAAGTCCGATGTTGTCAGCTTTAGCCAATCATGAGTTATACACATTTTACTGCATGTTATCGGTAGATTTTTCATAAAAAATTGACTTTTTTTCTTATTTTTTAATGAAAAATCCACCTCATAAACTTCTTCAAAAGCCTGAAGTTTTTGAAAAAATTTGGCAAGAGACTCTGAGAAAACTTATTAGAAAAATATGATATAGACTATTCGATGCAGTTTCATCTCCTCTTTTAAACGGTGAAAACTGAACCTCTCTATCTAGTTTCTATAAAAACTTATTCAAAAAATATCTACACTTTTCCTTTTTTGAAATGGGTATTAGTACATGTGGAACTATTAGAAAAGATAGATAAGGTTTACCTGAACTTGAAGTTAAAATTGGAAAAAGTCAACAAATTTATAAAAATATGGATAACATGTTGACTTTGAAGTAGGATAATAGACGAGAAAGTTATGATGTCATCAACCATTCATGAATCTCAAATGAAATATTTCGATAGAACTAATACAAAAGTTCAAAAACCAGTTTCAGTAATCGATTATAATTCTAATATTCATGCGATCAATAACACTGATATGCAAGTTAACTTAGTCGGATGTTTAAGAAAATATATAAAATGGTACAGAAAATTGGTTTTTCGTATGCTTGATTTATCAATCTTCAATTCATATTTGCTTTATAAAATCAATACTGGAGAAAAAATTCGATTTACGGTTTATCGTTTACAACTTATACGTGAAATATTAGAAGTTTATAGTATTCCGAAACCTACAATAGATCGTCCTGCACTGACTTATCAACCAACTAGACTTACTGCTAAACATTTTCCATCTCTTGTGCCTCAAACAATGCATAGAAAAGCTCCTCAGAAAATTTATATTGTTTGTGCACACGCCAGTCGAAGACTTCGGAAGAGGACTGATTCACACTATATGTGTAAAGATTGTGATGTAGGTCTTTGTGTTGTTAATTGTTTTAAAGAATTTCATACTTTACTACATTTTTAGTTCTTTTGTCTTGACTTCGTTTCTCATTTATTATTGAATTTGTTTGTTATTTTTCTTGGATATGTGTTTTGTTTCTCTTGTTCAAGGATAAATACTGTACGTCTTTTGAACTACGTCTGGAGGAGAAAATTATATAAATAGTTTTCAACTATATTTGATTTTGTAGGCGAAAATTAAGTTTTTTTTTTCTGTAAAAAAAAGTCAGTTCTCAAAGGGTTATTGATGTAAAGACATTTAAGCACCAACTAAATATGTATCACGTATTATATCTCATTACAAGCTTTGTATTGTATTTCTCTATTGCACAATACTATAAAAGTAAATATATAATGATTGTATATGTACTTAATATCCGTTTTTTTCCCCTTATTTGATAATAACAGGGGGACATCTACCTTTGGCAGGTGTATATTATATGTAATTTAATGCAAGGCCAATCGCTCTGTTTTTTCTTCATATTCATTGCTTTCGAATTATTTTTGATTCAACGTATTAACATACAAAGTCATGTCGGACATTCTTCGGTCGTAACTTAGACATGTAAATTAATCTACTTAAATATGAGTCGCAAAAATTATATAATGAATTTTAAATATGATTATTTTGTATCATATAACTTTATTTATAATAATAAATTTCAAATAAAAATTATCGAAATTTCTATTTTCTAGATAAATTAATTTTTATTTCATATGGCAACAAAAAAAACTCCGGAACCTTTAAATAAATGTAAAGATAAATTTCAACACACAAAAAAAAATATTTCTGTCTTTTTTTTTTTGTTTTTTTTTAAATAAAGTAAGTCATTCTAATAGCAAAAATGATCATGAACATAGTCATCAATCAACCCATGATCAAAGTCAAATAAATTGTTTTTTTAAAGCATGTGATCGTGAAGCAAGTGAAAAATTATTACGTGATGCATATACAAATTGTAAATAAAAACAAAAAATATTGAATTTTGTTTGTTTTTTATTGTAAATTTTTATTTTATTTAGATAAACAAAAAAATGGTATTTATATGTTACGTCAATCGGATCGTGATGAAAGTAAATTTATTTTATCATTAATTAAAGATGGACGATGTTTTCATTATCGTACACATCATATGGGAAATGGAACATTTCTTGATGAAAAAACTGAGAAAATCTTTAATTGTAAATTTTTATTTTTTTTTTTGTTAATTTAATTATGAAAATTAACTTCTTTTTTTTTTGTTTTATATTTAGCATTAGACGAATTACTTGAATATTATCAAACAGATGGTGTACGTCATTTACGTTGTCCATTGACAATATCTTTACGCGGTCATTCATTGCCAGCATTTGCACAACGACATAGTACAACAACTGTTCTTCATCAAGCAGCTACTAAAGGTCAACGAGACGTTATTCTATCAATTCTTAATGATTCAAATTCTCCGGATATTCATTCAAAAAATGAAGAAGGTTTAAATGAAAAAAAAAAAAAAAATTTTATTTTAAAAAAAAGTTTTAAATTTCTTTTATTCAAAAGGAAATACACCATTACATGAAGCATGTTTTTTTGGACGAGATGATGCTGTTAAAGTATTATTACAAGCTGGTGCTAATTGGAAATTTGTAAATAGACTTGGATGGACATCATTACATGTAAAAGAAATATTTTGTTATTATATTAATTAATGAAAAATTTCTTTCTTTATAGCAAGCAGCTTTAGGAAATAGTCCAACTGTTGTTGATTTACTTTTTAGTTGTGCTCATGCAGATATGGATGTACGAAATCCATTCAATTTATATGCACCAATTCATTGTGCTGCTGCATGTAATAGTCTTGAGACTATAACAGTAATTCGATCGATAAGATGTATTTAATAACGATAAATATTTTCGTCTATAGACTTTAATTACACACGATTCACCATTACGACCATTGACAGAAAATGGAGAAACACCGTATGATTTAGCTATTAAACATAATGGAAATGAATGTGCTGAAAAACTAGGTTAAATTTGATTGATTTTTGTTAAAGAGTTAAAATACAAGTTTTCTTATTATAGCGGCTGTTCGATCAAAACCTGCTTTATCTCGTCGTTCAAGTTATTATCATGGTTCATTAACGAATAATGTATGTGAAATTATTATTTTATTGTATGAACTTGTCAGCAAAGTCCTTTTGGAATTAAAATGTGGATCTCATATGTATTCTTTAGTCCCATTATATGAATACAAAATATGTTAATCAGAGAACATGCCTCCGTGATTCGCTCTACTTGTCTTCATATAATTTCTCCATGTGTAGGAGATCACTATAGTAGTATAACCTTCAAACGATTCCTGGTCATATTTAGATTTAATTGAGATAGTGACTTTTTGAAGTTCAGGTTTCAAAAACAATCATACATGGGAATTTTGACTAGAAACTTTATATCTCAATTAGACTATATCATGTATAACATTTCATTGATTTTGAATATTGCATTGTCAAGATATGGATTTCTCAACATATCTACGCTTTCCTTTAAGTGTTATGTAGTGTCCTACCATCAGACCGAGTACTCGGTCCAGAGCTCGGATCTAGATGCAAACTCTCTAGACCAATTTGAATACCGGATATGAACTCGTACCCAGATCTAACCCAGCAATTAATAAGATCTCGATGTTTCAAAACATTTTTTACTTTTTCAAACTGCTAATTTATATAAAAGTATAGGAGTGAAAATCAATTCGATAATGAAAATTCATCTAAAGTTACTGATGAACCATATGACGAAGTAACTGAATACACGGAGAGGAAAATGAATTATCGAGATGAAAAAAGCATGAATGTATTTATCCATAGTAATGACGTTTGGCAACAGCAACGCATTCTATTCTAACATGATCAGAAATAAGCAAACGTATACTTAATGAAATTAATTGAGTTTTAAAAGCAGAAAGACATCAAGTGAATTTTGAATCACTTACTTTTTCGTAGAATTTGAGATGATTTCGTTTTTTTGTTGCTGTTTATGAAAGAAATTTCAGTCAGATATAGAGTACAGCTGCAAAAAGTCGTACCCATGCAGGACACTAGTGCCCATTGAAAAAAAGGGTCTATAGGAGCTTTTAAATAACTTTTGATAGAAATAAGATGGAGAGCTGCAGCGTTTCAACTTTAGAAAGAAGAAATAAAGACGCATCGAATCGTATATTACAAGGTTTTTCGAGCTGGGTTTTTTTAACGGGTTTTCGATCGATCTTTTTTGACAATCAATCTACCCTGTGCGGTGACTATAATGAATTTTTCATTGTCATCCCGTTGCTATGAGGGGAAAGTCGCAAAACTTCAACTTCGTGATTTCTATCACATAAGTTGTTTTGTATCGATAATTTTGATATGAATAACTCGTTAATTTCATCATTTCACTTAGTGTTCATAAAAGATATTCCAAAGAAACATTCAAAGTTCAAAATTATCATAGGAATTTTTTTTTCAAAAGCAACCAATCTTTTAGAGATCTTGCCAGCAGCAATAAGCTCTTACCAATAGTTTTAAACATCTAAATCATTTCGAAATCATCTATCTTGCTTCGATTGTAAGTACCATTTTTGGCTGTATCTGATTGTGATAAAGAATAAGTCTCTAAAGACAAAAAAAAGATACGATTTGATAATGATATCTATCGATTCTAATGCAAACTTGTTGTTTTCGACAAATAAGAAAAACTTCATGTCTTTTATAACATAAACATTTTCTCATAGATTCTCTTTTACTTCTATTAAAATTCAAATTGAATAAATCTGACTATAAAAAAAAACCGATGTTTATTTTAGCAAATGCGAGCATTATTAAATTATTTCAAAAAACATGATGGTTATTTTTTTGTTCGACAAAGTTCATCTGTTCAAGATGATTATGCAATATCAATTATTTGGCAAAATCGACTTATTCATGAAAAACTTCATAAAAAAGTATTCTTTACTTAATTTTAACAAACAAAGATTTTTTGTTTTTTCTTTTCTTTAATTAAATTAGAATTCTAATTCATATTATTATGAAAATCGTCTTCATTATCATGATAGTCTTGAACATGCTATTGATTATTTTATGAAAGTATATAAAGGTGTAGTGAAACCATTGAGTCCAGGTAAAGATATCGTTAAAAACAAAAATAAAATATTTTGAATTATTTTTTTTTATACAGAAGTAGCAAAAGCAGCCTACACAAATGAATTCTCACCTTTACCATCTCAACGATCATTTTCATCAAGTTCTAAAAGTCTTAAATTATCTAACCATGTTCTACATGAACCATCTAGCTCCGATCTTATGGGAACTTCCGGTTATTTTTTATTTTTACGTCCATTAAATAAGTATATAAATTGGTTTTTTTTTTCTCAAATAGAAGTTAATCCATTTAATACAGGACGTTCACAAAATGTACATAATAAACAAAAAATGCTTTCAACAATTGGTAATTTATCAAGAAAATTCGATGATTTCATATTTATATATATATATTTTTTTTTTGTTTCGTTAGAGAAAAGACTTGTTAATCCACTTGTAAATAAAAGAGTGGTTATTATTCGTGAAGAACAATTAACAGTTACTAAATTATTAGGTGAAGGTAATTTTGGAAAAGTTTTTGCCGGAGAATATCGAGAAGAACATGGACAAACTGTAAGTTTATTATGTTACGAAAAAATTTAGTCGATAGATTGTTTTTGTTTTTTATTATTATTATTAATATTTAGGTACCTGTTGCTATTAAAGCATTAAAAGCAACAATGGATGCAAAAGCTCGAGAAGAAATGAAAAAAGAAGCTTTTGTTATGAAAGAATTATCACATCCATGTATTGTTCGACTTTATGGTGTATGTCAATCGAGAAAAATGAACAGCACAATGATGGTATAAATGATTTGCTTTACAAATATATTCTCATATTGAATGGCTTAATTAAAAGCTTCATATTTTCGTTCAGATTTATTGTTACATCTACATCAAAAACCAAAAAAAAACCATACTCGCCCATGGGCTATTTGTTCAAGCAAACTAACATTCTGCGTACTAACAATAAAATTTAAGCTTTTGTGTGTTTTGATATTTTCTTTATTTTTTTTATATTTATTTATTTAACATCTATTAGGTTCAAGAACTTTTGTTAATGGGATCATTATTGGATTATTTAAAAACACATGTAAAAAATTCAATACGTTCATTATTTGGTCTATGGATAACACAAATTATACATGGAATGGCTTATATGGAACGAAAACGTTTTGTTCATCGAGATCTTGCTGCAAGAAATATTTTAATGCAATCTCATTCACGAGTAATTAGAAAAAAAAACACCACAAATAAATAAAATCATTACTGTTTTTTTTTAGTAAAATTGAAATATTTTATAAATTTTTAGATAAAAATATCTGATTTTGGTTTATCACGTAGTGTTGATTCAAATGATTATTATGTTCAACATAGTGATACACCAATACCAATTGCATGGTAAGAAAATAACAATGATCTCTATAGATAAAATAAAACGTTCAAATTATTCTTAGTTTTGTTTTTCTACGAAATTAGTTAATGTTTTACTCATCAAAAAAGATGAAATTTTTCTGAATATTTAAATTTCTAATGAGAAAAAATATTAATATATATTTTCAAAATCTATTTTCTCTGAATACAAGAAAAGGATATTTAAATGAAATTGATTTATTAGAAAATCTTTATGATTTAAGGTATGCACCAGAATCACTTTTTCGCTATAAATTTACAAGTAAAAGTGATGTTTGGTCATTTGGTGTTACGATGTGGGAAATCTATTCATTCGGTCAATATCCTTATGGATCAATGCCTACTGAAGAGGTTTGTATATTGTTTTCATGAAATTTAAAATTGTTAAAAATGTCTATTATCAAATTGAATATTGGAATTTGTTTGAGAGAAAGAAATTTCAAAAGCTTTCATTGACACACTAGTTAAGCTTCCTTTCTTCTCTCCCTCAAAAAAAAAAAAGGTAATTTTCGTCAAAATTATCGAAATTAAAATAAATGCATAGGAAGATAGTCCGAGGTCTGATCTTTCATAAACGATATGTTTTTTTTTATTTGGCAGCTCGTTTTTTCCCAGAACTTTTTAATGATTTCTGTCATCACCTACTTGGAAACATATGAGGTTTTCAGAAAAAGCATGAAATGTTTTTCATTTTTTTTTGTTAGTATCTTCTTGATTGTGTATCCAAGAATTCTTGAACAAGTTTCATTGTAGTCAATTGTTTTTCTTTTGTTCAAAAGAGCATGACAGAGTCCTTTTCTTGAATTAAACTTTGTTACTATTATAAAAAAGAGTACTTTTATAATTAGAGCACCACTTTTCGAGACATTGAACTTTTCTCCGCTTAAAAAGTAAGAATTTAAAAAAAGGACTCTGCCATGTGTGAGATCTTAATCATATCTCCGTACTTTATTTCTATAACTAATTTTATCTTTTTGTTTGTTGAGTATCTCGCGAAAAAAGTCATGGTATAGGACTGAAAGTTTTATCATAGCTTCTCCACTACAGCCCCAACGTATCCTGAAAACTTCATGTGATTTGAATGTTCCTGATCCAAGATTCGCTTTTGAGAGGGTAGGAGTAAAGCCAGTCGGATTTGTCTCGGGCTAAGACTGGGTAGGACCCAGGTCCAGAAACTTTGGATCGAATGGGCTTAACCTCACACATTTCGCAGACGAGTCATCTAAGATCCAATTAGAACATTTCATTGAAAGTACCAAAGTACGGTATGATCGGGTCCGGGTCCGAAAACTTTGCACCCTATGGGCTCTAGCCGGGAGGCCTTAATTCTCTTTCAAAGAATTCATGGAGAATTCTTGTATATTTGCAAATGACTGCTCAGGCGCTCACTGATGACTTTCTAGGAATTTCTTGGGGATTCACAATGAGAGTCATAGCTATTGTAAGCAGTCCTATATGATATCATTTATTATTCTATTCACGATAATTTCAATGAAGTGTCCTAATCGAAATTGGATAAGCGCCCCGAAGATGCAAGATATTTTTTCCGACTCTTTATATTTTATGACTAGCGTACCTTATACATTTCTCAGATGGCTAAAGCTCATCGGATCCAAGACCAACCCGAACGGGTTCTAGTGAGAGGAGAGAAATGACTTTTTCTTTGGCCCCTTCATGAATAGAAAAATATAATTTGTATTCTTAAAAATCTATCTATCATTGCAATTACTTTTGGGATTAATCTGAATAAAAAAAAATACATGGTCTTTATTTTTCAAATAATATTTACCATCAAAATTGTCGTTGCAGTCAATCTAAATAGACAAAAAATAGAATTGATTTTCTTAAGCTGATAATAACCATTGAAGTTAACATAAAGATAAATCTACTTGAAAAAAAGAACACAATTTATTTCGTTAACTTACTTCTTATTTGAAGATGTAGGCCAATTCGAAATAAACAAGTTATGTACTCCTTCATAAATTCCTTAGATAAGGAGTTTCTGTCTTTATTCAAATTCTCTGAAAACCAGGCACTCCATACAGATTTCCCAAAGAGTCTCTATAGAGATTAGTTCGATGACTCTCGAAGAGAGACTCACCAGAGATTCTGCAAGTAGCAGTCTACTATGAACATTACCTTTCTTAAGAAAATTCGAAACTTTTTAGATCACTCAATTCATTGAGGCTAATGGTCGTCTTCAACGTCCACCTGGTTGCAGTTCTTCTACATATGAGATTATGCTTCGATGTTGGGTACATGAACCACATGATCGTCCATCATTTCCAGATTTACTTAAAATTTTAGCCAATCGTTCAGAATTTATTTCAGCTATTCAACATTTTCAAGCATTATCAAAATATTAATAAACAAATTCCAAAAAAAAAAAAAGACAACACACATTTTTATACATATCATTTATTAATTTATTTAATTACGTCAAAAAAAAAAGAGAAAAACAAAGTCACACAAATATATAAACTCTATTAGTTGATAATAAATAGGAAGAATACAAAAACAAACACCACTAACTTTAATAGTTCTTTTGTATTAATAATGAAATCAACTAGAGAAAAAAAAAACATTGTTTTTCTTCTAAACGCCATTTGCTGATATGCGTTTATCGTTATCACGTTTAGCATTAAGAATAGTAGTTTTCATACGAGTTAAATCACGTTTTCCTTTTGATAATTGTGTACCTTGACTAAGTTCAACAAAACGTAATACTTTAGACCAATCACATGAATTTTTATCACTTTTTTCTAATGATGTTGTACGTAAAGCATCTTCTGCATTTTTCATTGTTAATCGATTTTGTTCCATATGTGATTTTCGTTCTCGATACCAACGTTCAAGATCACCTTTAGCTTGTTGTCGTAATGCTTCAATTTTTTGTTTTTCTTCAACATCTTTTTCAGCTATTTCTCGTTGACGACGATTATTAAATGCTTCTAATGCTGATAATTTTTCTTGTGAAGATATCCCTGTTGTAAATGTATTTGTATCAATTGGTGTTGGTGTTGGTACAGGTTGTGAAAACATATCATATGATGATGTCGTTTCTTCTTCAGTGGAAGAAAAAAAAAACTTAAATAGGAAAAAAAAGTTTTTTTAAGATAAAAACCTGATTGAAGTGTTGTTGTATCATTATAAAGATCATCATTTGTTGGTGATGGAAGATTATTTGTAACATTATCAAAAACATCATTTGTTGTTGATGAAAGATTATTTGTAGGAACATCAAGAAAGTCATTTGTTGTTGATGGAAAATTATTTGTAGGAACATCAAGAAAATCATTTGTTGTTGACGAAAGAT